TTTTAGGAGCCGCGTTTGCAGGATGTTGTGCAGAGAATGTGCTTAAATATATATATATATATATATATGTATACACATATATATTTCGAAATAATTTTTATATAAATATATATGTGTATACATATATATATATATTTAAGCACATTCTCTGCACAACATCCTGCAAACGGCTCTTACAACCCACAATTTATTTCATTCATTAGTTCAAAGACTCCTGAGAGCCCGAAGAATCTTCTTCTTGTTATTTATATAAAATATATTTGCGGATTTTTAATATTTCGACAGAAACAACTTTTTGTAATGTTCAAATTAATTAATAGGCCGATACGAGTAATAAAATACAGGATGGCAGCGTATAAACAAAAGTCTTTATTCAAAAAGACAAAAAAAACAGACGTTTCAGTCCACAATTTTGGGAAATTAATTAATTTTATTTTTATTAATTAATTTGAACTTTTCACGAGTGATTGATTGATGATTTTTGTAATGTTATTACGTGTTATCTCAAGAATATATTCTACATATATATATGTTGACAAAAAAAAAACATTCTTCCTATCGAATGTGTTAATTACATTCGATGCACAGATTCTTGTGTTTTGCATCCGCAAAATATTTATCAGACTCAAAACCGAGAGATAACCGAGAGCGATGATATAATCGTGAAACATTCCTTCGATACTCCTGGCGGTGTTGTTTGTTCTCTTTCGTCCGGACGATTATCTAATCCGCTTATCTAATTAATGTATGCGTAGCGTTGACGTCCTTTGTGGCGCGATTACGAGTTATATAGGCCTGGCTGGCAACCCTTGGTGTAATACCGGGGTCTGTTATGGCAAACGCCGAGGTTCACTCGTAAACGATACACTCGAGAAAAAAAAGCGGCGGGCAAGACGTAGAAAAAAGAAACGTAGACGGAGTCACGCTTAGATAATGCCGGACGCGTGTTCAGCCGTTTATTGACATAACAGTGGCCGCAAATTACGATAAGATCGAGCAGCATAGGCTTAATCTCCCAATCGAGAGACGCACGGAGTTCTTGGAGCGACGTGTAGACCGCGATTCTAAGAGGATCCTAAGAAAGAGATCTATTCATAATGTCACGCGCGCAAAATCATAGACTGTGTATACGTAAAAACAAAAAACAAAAAAAAAAAATTAATACCAACTTTTAATTAAAATTACTCACGCGAGTGATAATAATAAAAATGATGAATGTAGAAAATTTTTAATATGAGTTTATACAGGCCTTAAAATGGAAATTCGACCTTATAGCCTAGTCCACAAAAATGTTAAACGTATTATTCGAAACGTCCCGTAATAATACGTTTAACATTTTTTACACCACTTCCATCCGTGGACTAGGCTATAAGGTCGAATTTCCATTGGTTAAAATTTTTAATGTTTATATTCGTAAAATAATGCGTTAGAAAAAAATGTGAAATTTGGATGGAAGTGGTGTAAAAAAATGTTAAACGTATTATTACGGGACGTTTTTCGAATAATACGATTAACATTTTTTACACCACTTCCATCCGTGGACTAGGCTGTAAGGTCGAATTTCCATTGGTTGAAATTTTTAATGTTTATATTCGTAAAATATAACGCGTTGGAAAAAAATGTGAAATTTTTCTTTTGCGTTTTTTTCTGTCGGTTGAAAAATTTGGAAAACTCCTCTACGAAAAAACGAAACAAAATTTTTGGAAAAATGTTTTGTTCGTCTTCGTGGAATTACATCAAGAGACTCCGTTCGTCTCCCGAAGTAAGCAGTATAGTCTTGTGGTTCGTGGTTTAACTCGCTAGCCATAACATCGTCGTCCGACGTTCCTTTCTTCGCACACGGTCCGCTCGTAACGTGCCCCCAGAAATTCACGCGACACACACACTATCACCTGAGCGCGTAAAGGATATGCTATCTACATACGTACACATATATATATATATATATGGCCGTCCGCCATCGTTTTGAAAGTGATGTGTATTCGGCTGACTACGTCAGCCAACTGTTTTGACCGACTTTGCTTAGTTATTTGTCTCTTATTATCTCAATATTTTCTATACAATTTCTTTACTAAACTAGACATTTGTATATTTGCGGCAATATTTTTATTGCAGTCATGTGTCGTTTTATAAGAAAAACATATGAAAGAAAAAGATATGTTTTACTTGCTAGTTTTTGTTAACTCTAAGATGACTGGTGTACTACTCTTTTTGAGAAAATACTTGAGGATTTTCAACAAACCATTTAGGGTGAGAAAATCCTCAAGTATTTTCTCACCCTAAATGATTTGTTTATCCAAGCGAGTCGTTTACGCCAAAATTTTTATTTTAAAGCGTCGTTCTTTCTTTTCAAGCGAGAAAACAATTCTTTCCTTAAGGGGGTGGACGTCCGAGTTCCATACTTCCTCCCTTTTGCCTTTCTCAAAATTCTACGTCCAAAGGTTCGAGAAAAAGGAAATGCGACGCCCCATTACCGTTTTATGACTCAGATTTGGTTACATCTCCTGTTTCGCCATTGAGTTGTTTCTCACTACCAATAGTTACTATATAAAAGGCCACGGCTGGCCCTCTTCGGTGCTACCTTCATTTATCTTCGCGCCGTGTAAGAACGAGAACGCGCCTTCTTCCTCATTAGTCTTGGAAACACCGGGCGCCGAACCAGAAAAGTGTGACGTGAATCATATTTTGCACGATTCATATTTGCACCACAGCTCTCGACCGCATAACATTTCGTCACTCCCTACGTATAATTGCATAACAAATTGTCACATATGGGATTTTCAGTTTATTGCATAGCGACACTCAGAAAGTCATGTTCTTTGTGGTCACCAAGTATTAAAAAAAAAAAATATTCATAAGTTAGGTAAAAATTTAAAACCGAAAGATCCCTTAACTAGGGACATTATATGAAGCTTGAAACTTTTAAATTGCTCTCCTCTAAAATTTGCGTTTTGGACCGCAACACCACCGTCGTTAAAATCTCTTTGATCAGTTCAATTTCTAAGTTAAATTTTGAATTTATTGAATATCCGATTGCGCGAGTTTTAGTTTTCTCGATGGTTCTCTAGAATTCTAGAGTTCTCTAGAATTCTAAATAGACGAATCAATAGATAATTTTCCTTATTTAATTTTATTGCAACATAAAATAAAGTGACAGCTTTAACAATCCGGTAAAAAATTTTCCATGTATAAAATTGTATGGACATATTCGGTATATAAATTTGCATAATTTGATATACTAAGTTTAATTTGTGTATAAGTATATATAATTATATCTCAAAAAGTTTTTAAAAATATAGTAAAAATATAGTTTCATATAATTTTTTTGTATCTAAAATGATACTAATAAAGTTATTTTGTAATTTGATATGGAATATCTTTGAAGTCATTTTCTTAAAAAAAGAAATTCTCCATGTATAAAATTGTATGGACATATTCGGCATATAAATTTGCATAATTAGATATAATTATTTTAATTTGTGTATAAGTATATATATATGAAAAATGTTTTACCGGGAAAGCATTTTTAGAAATTAAAATCTTAAAAATTCTCTTCTTTCTTACTACCCAAACGAAGCACGTTCCTATTCGTCAAGATGGGGAAAGGAATCTGGGAGGCGTTGAGGTACGAGCGGGGGGCGTATTTCTTCAAATTCAGACCTTGAGCGCGACCATAAAAATGCGCGGCTCGTTTAGGCGAAAGGACCTGAATGCAAGGGAAAGGGAAGGGCAGGAGTAGTGAGAGAAGTGGTACGCAACCATGGGTGGAGCTGGTCGCATATGGACCACACCGTGTGACATGTACAGTGTTACAGTGCGCGTGTATATGCGCGTGGTAAACAAGATGCACTAATTTTTGCGGCAAAGACTATATAACATACAGTAGATTCTCGTTTGTCCGAACGTCTTTTATCCTAACGACTTGAAAACGTAAATTGTTGTATTATAAACTGTCGGTTTACAGATAGAGCTTTTTTTATCCGAATTATCTTGTCTCAGGTCAATTCGGTTAAAAAAGGTTCCAAAAAAAGTGTGTATTGTATTCAAAAATATGGATCTTATTGTCTATGAAAAGTTTTCTACTCAAAAAAACCTTTGAAAATAACACTTTTGCAAATTTTTTAAAGATCTCACTCATTGATGTCAACCTTGAATAAACGATTTTCTGGTTTATGATTTAAAACAATGGTAGTGAAACAAAACAAAAAAAATCTTTTACGATCCCTTTTTTTTGGTTACCAGTTGGAATTCGGCAGCTAGTATAAAGGTTCTAAAGGATCATTTCCACTCTTGTAATAATTTTGACACTTTTTATGTTTCAATATTTCTTAAAAAAAAAAATAGAAAAAAAAAGTATAGATTTTTTTACCAATTTTGGCGAAAATCTGCAGCAAACACATTTTCTATCTTGTATTTCTAATACTCACGTCCAAAGCGAACGCACTTTGTACAAGAAAATGCTCAAATTTTTTCTTCAAACTTTAATTTCAATAGAATCCATAAGTCTCTAAAGATCACAAAGAATGAAAAACTAACGCGCGCGTTAACTACCGAGAGATTTATGAGAAAATTTTAAACATATACTGTTACTACTGGATATTGTGTCTGCTGGATTTTTTTGTGATGGATCAGACGTTATTTTTCTTTTTTTTTTTTTTGCATTCTATCAGGACTCAACTTCATATCGCGTATCAAACTTCGTATCAAACTTGTCTGCTCGAATAAAAACTTTCTCTAAAGTCTCGATTTTTGAAAAATTTTTTTTTACGCAAAACTCTACAGTTCATAGCAAATCGAAGCACAGCTGCCCGGCCAGCGCGCTCATACTGCACCGAAAAAATTATATTCTCGTAAGTAGAAGATTTTATACTTAAAACATCTCCTTAAAGATTTTAGATGATATTCTTCTGAAATTAAGAATATATTCTTTATTTAAAAATATAGTCTTTTTTGACAGTGAGATATATATATATGTTTTTCTATAGAGGCTTTTTTATATTCTAATCAGTATATATTCTTATCAATATTACTATTTAGAGNATTTTCCTCNTAAAATAAGAAACTCTTCTTGGCGCCTATTTTAGTATAAAATATACTTAAAGTAAGTGGGATATCCTCAAAACAAGAATACAATTTTTTCGGTGTGTGTAAAGCTAGAAGCACTTTCAGCTCTGCTTGCTATCATAGCCGGTAGAAGTAAAAACGCATCGTGTAAAAATGTCGCTTTAGTTTAAGATGTTTGCGGTACAACAATGTGAGAATTCAAGCGCATTACTCGAAGATTATTAATAATAAAAAGTTTTACGTATCTAACTTACATACTTTCAACAAGAAAAATATCTTAGAAATTGCAGTTAGTGTCATTTTATTTTCTCGCATACTTCTTGATGTCACACATTTGTTTTTTTATTGTTTTTTTTTTTTTTTTTTTTAGAGATATGCTTCCGCTGAACTGTCAAAGCACAACCAATAGCACGATAAGCAGTTCGGTGAGCAACGGAGGCAGCATCCAATCTCTGCAGAGTATGGATTCCGACAGTCCGAATCTCGCGATGTCACCTCTATCGACAATGGGTATGTCGCCGGTTACGATGAATCCGTGTAGTCCGATGGGTATGAGTCCAATGGCGCCTCACCATACCTATCCAACACCTGTCACTCCGTCATCCGTTCATACCGCGCATCCACATAACGGTGGATTAAGCCCTATGAACGACGTGAAAGCTCTTTGCTACGGACGCAGTGTATACGACACAGGTACATATGTATATATATAATTTATATTTATATATTAGTTAATAATAAAAACAATATTAGTAAAAAATTTTTATCCCTCAAATTATTATTGTTGTACGTGTAAGAACATATATATCTTTATTTATTGTAATTTTTATATTTTGTAATTTATTTTCAATTTGTTTTTTTGTTTAAAACACCGTCTATTTTTTAAATATAAATACTTTACCGATATGAGAAATGTGTCCCGAGTAGAAAATCAAACACGGTCCTAAGAAGGGCGCGTTAGGTTTTGTCCTGTTGCCTGATAAGGTCTTGTTAAGGCAGCCTGACAGCGCCCTGATCAAAAATGTAACGTCGTGTTACATATGGCCTTGATAGCAGGTTTCTGACCGGGCCTTAGTACGGCGGAAGATAAC